TGATAACAATGCTTCTTTTTATTTGTGAAGAGTAATAAAACTAAGCCAGTTTGCCTGTCAGTGTGAATAGTTGCTTCCCAGCAAAAGAATGTGATCTTTAGACACAACAACGATTTAGAAAAATCATTAAACTAAGAAGGCTGAGTTTCCAGAAAGGTCTAAGGGAAGCAATGACAAGAGCCCTTCAAAGTTTAACAACCCATTTTCTATGAAATGGAAATGGCTTTGGAGAAATGTTTTGAGAGGTTCATTTACCACAACTTGGGTAAAGAAAAATGTGCTTTCAAGCACAGCCACAATAAGAGTGTATATCCAGCAGCCAAGAAATGACCCAGAAACACCAGAGTCTGTAGAACTTTCTATAAATCAACTGGAAACTTTCAGAAGACAAGAAAGAATGCCCTCTGACTGTCTTGTTTACTTTTGTGTTTCAGACCCTACACCTTGGACACACAGCAACTGCTCCATAAATACCAGTCTTGGTTCAAAAACAAGGAAGGATCTGAAAATGTGACAATAGGCTGAGTGCAGTGGTTCACGCCTGTAATCTTAGCACTATGGGAGGCGGAGGCAGGAGGATGGAATTGAGGTCAGGAGTTCAAGACCAGCCTGAGCAAGAGTGAGACCCCACCTCTACTAAAAATAGAAAAAATTTAGCCGGGCATAGTGGCGTGTGCCTGTAGTTCCAGCTACTAGGGAGGCTGAGGCAGGAGGATCGCTCGAGCCCAGGAGTTTAAGGTTGCTGTGAGCTAGGCTGATGCCACTGCACTCTACCCAGGGCAGCAGAGTGAGAGTTTGTCTCAAAAAAAAAAAAAGTGTCAATAATAACATTTTATAGTCAATGGTGATTTAACATTATTTCGTTTGCATCTCATCTCTGGGCAATGAAACTACAGATGTTCTATTTTATATTTTTTTATGCATTGTCTGAAATATTTATGAGTACATATTTTGAATAGAAAGAAATAAAATGGTCTCCCCACTAGGAAAATGCAATTCTTATAATCATCATTGCCTATTTCTTGACACCTTTTAGAATAGGGTAGAGAATTCTGCCATAGATTATGTAATTCACTAGGAGGGCAAAGTGAATTCATTCATTCCACAATATTTATTCAACACCAACTTGTGCTAAGAATGGAACTAAGTAGGCACTGGGGAATGTATAAGTGCAAAAAATACCAGTGTATAGTCTAAAGAGAGAGATACAGACATGGAACACATACTGTCACTAGCAAGTGTCCAGCTGCAACTGTGACAGCTGCCATGGAGAAGATCCAGTGCTAGGAGCACCTGTGACCCACAAGATTGGTCTCCTGCTTGGGCCTAGCTCCATACATTTGTCCTTACAAATGTGTTTCCCCACTTAGAAGTCCCTTCCTCCCTCCTCCACCCAGTCAACCTTGACTTTGCTTCAGAATCCTGCTCAAGTCTCCAGTACAGTTCCTGTTCAAGCTCTGTCTGACTGGAAGCTTCCCTCAGTTGGAATCTCAGTCATCCTGATGTTACAATCAGACATCACCATGAATAGGAGTCCCCAACCTACAGAGAGTTGTGTAATTATTTCATTATATATTACAATGTAATAATAATAAAAATAAAGTGCACAATAAATGTAATGCACTTGAATCATCCCCAAACCATCCTCCCTCCGTCCGGTCCATGGAAATATTAAATTGTCTTCCAATGAAATGGTCCCTTGTGCCAAAAAGGTTGGGGACCACTGACCTTGAGGATCCTGCAACCCATTAGTAGTTGTATGAACCAGGGTTCTCCAGAGAAACAGAACCAATGGGATGTGTTTTGTAGGGAGAGATTTATTTTATTTCTTTTTTTTTTTTTGAGACAGAGTCTCACTTTGTTGCCCGAACTAGAGTGCCGTGGTGTCAGTCTCACTCACAGCAACCTCAAACTCCTGGGCTCAAGCAATCCTGGGAGGCCGAGGCGGAAGGATCACTCAAGGTCAGGAGTTCAAGACCAGCCTGAGCAAGAGCAAGACCCTGTCTCTACTAAAAATAGAAAGAAGTTAGCTGGAAAATTACAAATATATAGAAAAATTAGCCGGACATGGTGGCACATGCCTGTAGTCCCAGCTACTCGGGAGGCTGAGGCAGGAGGATCGCTTGAGCCCAGGAGTTTGAGGTTGCTGTGAGCTAGGCTGGGCACTCTAGCCCAAGCAACATGAGACTGTGTCTCATAAAAAAAAAAAAAAAAAAAGAATAGAAATGCAAATTAAAAGCACAAAGGGAATATATCAGATTGGCAAAGATCAGAATGTTAGCTAACACAGTCCAATATGATCATAGGGAATATGCACTCTGAAAAATGCTGCTGCAAGGCTGACCTTCTTTGACCTCCTTGGAGAGGAATTTGGCAAAATAACTCAAATTTTAAAATGCACTGGCCTGATGACTTCCAGGTGTTAACAGATGTACTCACAGATTCATGCAAAATGATGTGTGCACAAAAATGTACATTGCAGCATTGTTTACAAACAATAGCAGAAGACTTGGAACTATCTAAATGTCTATTAAGAGGGAATCAGTTCAATAAATTGTAGAGTACTATACAGCCACTTAAAAGAATAAGGAAGCTCTGCATGGACTGATATGGAAAATTTCACAGGGACATTGTTTTTTGTTTTGTTTTGTTTTTTGGGGGGTAGAGTGCAATGGCGTCATTGTAGGTCACTGCAACCTGAAACTCCTGGGCTAAAGTGATCCTCCTGCCTCAGCCTCCCAAGTAGCTGGGACCACAGGTGCAGGCCATTGCACCCAGATAGGTTTTCTATTTTTAGTAGAGACAGGGTTTTGCTCTTGCTCAGGCTGGTCTTGAACTCCTGAACTCAAGCGATCCTCCTGCCTCACGCTATCAGACTACTAGGATTACAGGTATGAACCACCACGCCTAGCCCTCACAGGGATATTGTTAAGTAAAAGGAGTAAGGTAGACACCAGTGCATGTAGTGTGCTAACATTTGTGAGCGAGAAGAAAGTGCACACATATGTTGGTAAATGAATCGAAGACCCCTAGAAGAACACCTGTAACCTGGGGACATTAGTTGCCTCTAAAGCAGGGAACTGGGGAAGTGGGGGAACATCAGAGGAAGTAAGGGAGGCTTATTTTTCACTGAGTACCTACCATGGGTTGAACTGTGTCCCCCTCAAATTCATGTTGAAGCCCTGACTTCCAGGACCTCAAAATATGGCATTATTTGGAAATAGGACCATTGCAGATGTGATTAGTTAAGATGAGGTCAAATTGGAGTAAGGTGGGCCCCTAATCCAGTACGACTTGTGCTGGGGTCCTTATAAAAAGGGGGACATTTGGACCCAGGCAGGCACACAGGGTGAATGCCATGTGAAGATGATGGCAGGAATTGGGGTGATGCCCAGCAAGCCACCAGAAGCAGGAGAAAGGCACAGAACAGATTTTTCCCTTGCAGCCCTTAGAAGGTACCAACCTTGCTGACACCTTGATCTTGGACTTTTACCCTCCAGAACTGTGAGACAATAAATTTCGGTTGTTCAGTTTGTGGTACTTTGCTACAGCTGCCCTGGTGAACTAATAACTATTAACACTACCCTTTAGCACCTTCAGTTCTGTATTCTGTGTGTGTGTTACTGATTCACACATATTTCTTCAATGCAAGTTTCCGTTCCTCCCTGAAGCCTTCCCAGGTTCTCCAGGCTGAATTTCTATCTTTTTATCTGTTTCTCTGCAATAGCATTTACCAGGTTGTAAGGTACTTTAGCTGTTCATAGGGTTCTCACCTCCAAATAAATCATGAAAGGGGCCAAGCCTGCGTTTCGTTCACCATTGTAATCCCAGAGCCCGGCTTCAAATGTTTGCTGGAGTGAATGAGTGAACAGGTAACTAGACATTGTTCACTACCTTCCTACATTTCTGTAATTATTTAGGTTTTCGCTTGACAAGCTATCCTTTCATTTATATTTAGTTGGGGTGATAGAACTGATAGAACTGACCCTAAGATTTGGACGATCTTAATAGGTAGAAGGAAAAAAACTCATTTAAAAGCAAATTTAAGAACTTTATTTCAAATGAGAGGAGAATTTAGTACTATTCAGGGGAGACGGTTGCTCAAACGGCAAGAGGGTTAACTTTTGCCTAGTAGAGAGATGAAGAATCAAGAAAGTCTCCCACTGGACCTCTGCACTTGATGAAAATGAGGCAATTTGTCAATCACGCTCCTTTCAAAGGAGGGCTCTTACTATGATCACAGAAGTGACATTGGAATTGGGCAATAAAGATTGCTGGTATGGCTGCTATATTCATTTCCTAGGGCTGCTGTAACAAGGCACTACAAACTGAGTGGATTAAAGCAATAGAAAGGTATTATCTCATTGACCTGGTGGCCGGAAGTCAGAAATCAACAAGTGGGCAGGGCCATGCTGTCTCCGGGAGAGTGGAGATGAGACTCCTACTTGCCTCTCCCATCTTCTGGCGGTTGCCAGCAATCCCTGGTGTTCCTTGGCTTGGAGAAGCATCACTCCAGTCTCTGCCTCCATCACCCCACAGGGTGTTTTCCCCTGTATCTGTGTCTCTGTGTCCAAATTTCCTCTTCTAGTAAGAACACTAGTCATTGGATACGAGCCTACCCTAATCCACTATGACCTCATCTGAATTTGATCACACCTGCAAAGTAAGGTCACATTCTGAGTCTCTGGGTGGGCGTGAATTTGTGGGGGACACTATTTAATCCAGTACAGCTGCTCAGCGAGGGCCCACTGAGGAAGGAGATGCAGCCAAAGGCTGTAGCTTGTGGTTAAGCATAGGCCATGGAATCAGACAGACCTGGTTTCAAATCCTGGTTCTACCTACTGATCAGCTGAACTTGGGCAAGTTAGCCAACATCTCTAAGCCTGTTTCTGCAAGCATGCAAAGGGTTTAATAAAAACCCATGCCTCGGCCAGGCGCGGTGGCTTACGCCAGTAATCCTAGCACTGCAGGAAGCCGAAGTGGGAGGATCGCTCAAGGTCAAGAGTTCGAAACCAGCCTGAGCAAGAGTAAGACCCCGTCTCTACTATAAGTAGAAAGAAATTAATTGGCCAACTAAAAATATATATAGAAAAATTAGCCGTGGTGGCGCATGCCTGTAGTCCCAGCTACTCAGGAGGCTGAGGCAGAAGGATCGCTTGAGCCCAGGAGTTTGAGGTTGCTGCGAGCTAGGCTGACGCCACAGCACTCTAGCCAGGGCAACAGAGTGAGATTCTGTCTCAAAAAAAAAAAAAAAGAAAGAAAGAAAAAAGAAAGAATGGCCCATGCCTCCTAGGGTTGCTGGGCAGATAAATGACATCAGGACCTGAGAGTGCCCAATATTAAAAAAAAATTAATGTCTAATGCCTAAGTCCCCAGTTCCACCGCTCCTGCTATCCTTTCAGGGAAGAAAGTAGACAGTAAAATAGCAAAACAGGATAGTTTATGATTAAAGGCCCAGATGCTTGTTACAGGATGTACCTGCCACACAAGGTCAGAGAGTACAGGGAGGCTGGGCTTGAGCAGGCACAGACTTTAACTTTTAATAACAAACAGATGCAAAATTAGTGCTGCAATCTGAAACTCTGCTCCTACACTGTATTGATTTTCCCTCTCCACCTCCCCCAGGGTGTATTTATAGAGCTTGTCATCCAAGTGCCCCCAGGATAGCCAGACCTATCCCCCTTGGTGCTCACACCTCCCACCTTGGCCCCTCTCTCCAGATACGCTTGGTCATCAGGACGTTAGAGGGGGCCCATGACCTTCATTTCCAGGTGGCCCTGGCCCCCCTTATCTATGCTGCCCCCAGTGGAAGGACGCCCTGGGAGGGGATGGCTGGTGAGGGTGGGCATGGCTGCATTTGCTGATTTCTGACAACATCCCAAAGGCGAACGAAAATGACTTGGGACGATCAGCGTTTTGTACAGATCGGGGAGAACTGGCTGTTCTCTGCTGCCAGCTCATGTGTTCCATTAGAAATGGATTAAATCATCCAGACTCGGGAAACTTTTGGGTGACATTTTCATTTCAAACTCATCATTATAGCTTGAGTCCCTTGCCTGTGACCTGTGCTATGAGTCAGCCCGGCTCAGACACATCACTGATAGGGCTGATTTCTGACCTTCCACGGCAGCCGGCTGCAGCTCTTGTCTCCTCCACATTGAGAAAAATCATGTGCTCAAAGCTTTGTTTCTCAATTATAGCTTTTTCCATTTTTTTTCCTCGATGACTAGTGGGACTAAGCCATCGATTTACTTATCACGTTTATTGAGTGCCTGGCTAATAGCGTGGGCTCCAACTGTCAATTGCCTCAATTCAAATCCCACCTCCACAAATCAAGAGCTTTGTGTCAGCTCTAAACTGCAGTTACTTCGTCTGTAAAAGGAGAGTCCCAATAACGCCCACCCACAAGGGTGCCGAGAACATTGTTCCAGGTTTGTGTCCCCAGGAAGCAGACTCTGAGAGTGTGCAAGCAGGACCTCAGCAGGGAATTCTCTCTCTAGCAACACAGGAAGCAGGACTGGGCTGGGGGAGAGGTGGAGCTGTGATCTGTCCCAAAGGAAGCAGCAGCAACCCCAGGGAGCGCTGGGGAGCTATGATAGCCCGTTAGCCCCATCCTGAGTCGGATGGGCCCTTATGCCCCTTGGTAGATCAGTCACTGCCCTTATGCCCCTTGGTAGATCAGTCACTGCCTGCAGGTTGTCCCTGGAAAGAGGTGTGACCTCGGCCAAGGCAGTTTTCTTCAGCCGGGCCGGCCAGTCCCCAAAGACAGCCTAGATTGGCCTTCCTGCAGCACTCCCAGCAGTGGGGATTTGTCCCTCGTGCATGAAGGGGGACCGGGCAGCACATTGCAGCCTCCACCCCACAGATGAAATGCCGTAATCCACGTAAAGCCCTTAACACGGCACCTGGCATGCAGTAAGCGCTCAATAAATGGCAACCATCACAACTGCTGTTGTTGCTCTAATAACGATTATTTGTCAGGCACTGTGCGAGAGGCTGGGGACACAGCGGCCGTTGAGATTCTGGTCCTGCCCCGAAGAAACGCAGTCCACGATCCCCTCAGACCATCAGACAAGCAATCGCAATGCAGCGCCATGGATAGCGCACCACAGGATGTGGACGGGAGCACGGAGAGGAGACACATGTGTCCAGATCAGGGGGACCAAGGGGAGTGATGTCAAAGGTAACACCTGACGATGAGGAGGAGTCAGCCAGGCAAGGGGAGTGGGAGGGGCTTGGGTGGGCGAGAGGGACTGTCCAGGCAGAGGCAGGGAGGGCTACATCAGCGTGTGCCTGGGACGGTTCAGCAAGGCCAGCGGTGGGGTGCACCAGGGCGAGGGGAGGGAGGGCCAGGAGTGTAGAGGCAAGAAGGCATTATAGGAAGCCAGCCAGAGAAAGGGCAAGGTCCATTTTGTGCTTAAAATGGTCACTCTGGCTGCCACGTGGGCAATGGATTGGAGACGGGCAACGTTAGAGGCTGGGAGATGCATTGGGAGGCTATCGCCAGGGTCCAGATAGAGGCAAGGGTGACCTGGACGGGTTGGTGGCACTGAAGGCAGACAAGAGTGCACAGAGTCAAGCAATAGCTAGGAGGTGGAATCCACAGACTTGATGACGCCGGAATGGTGAGTGGGAAAGGGACATTCAGGGTCATGCTTAAGCTTCAGACCTGGGCCAATAAATGCCAGGAGGCCTACAGGACAAGTGTCTGAAGGCCTTGTGGAAAAAACCCACCAAGGACGGACATGCTACTTGTTAGTCAGCATGGTTTGAAGGATCCTCGTCCAGCCAGCTCTGCAAGACCTGTGGCTCCGTTCTAGATAAACCCCCTGGAAGTCCCTGGTAGAGTACAACCATCATAAGCAGCTATGTTAATCCCAGAGGAACCTGCTTCCTCCCAGCCTTGTCTATGGAGGGGAAAATGGTTTAAACTCCCAGTGTTTAAACTGCAGGCATAGTGGAAAGCAAATTGAGCAAGGAAGAAGATAGAAATAAAAATTCACTTTGGATTTAATCTTCAATAAATATCATTTATTGAATATGGACTCTGGGCTCAGTTCTGTGATCAGGGCTACAGATACAAGGAAGGATAAAACAGACACTCACCAGTGAACTTGGGGTTCCAGTTCCTTCCACAGTAATATTTCTTCACATGGTAAATTAGTCCATTGGCATTCAGCTTTATACATTAGTCTCTTGTTTGTTTGGTGACCTGAGTCAGTCCCTGGGGCTCAATCACCTTTGTGTATTTACAAAACTGAGTGTTTGTACTTCAAAACTGATGTGCAGACTTTTGTAAGTGGGGATCTTTCCATGGGAAATGATTGGCAGGCCTCTCTCCAGAAGGAGAAATCTGAGGACAGGAAGAGGCTGGAGGATTCCAGGATATTCTCTGAATCTGAGTTAGAAAACTGGGCCCAATATTATTCCAAATTATTTCTTTTCTTTTCTTTTTTCTTTTCTTTCTTTTTTCTTTTCTTTTCTTTTTGTTTTTAGAGACAGGGTCTCACTCTCACCCAGGCTGGAGTGGAGAGCAGTGGCACCATCACAGCTCACTGCAGTCACCTCCAACTCCTGGACTCAAGCAAGCCACCCACCTCAGCCTGAGTAGCTGGGACTATAGACATCCTCCACTGAAGCCAGTTAATTTTTTTAGAGATGGGGTCTTACTATGTTGCCCAGGCTGGTCTCAAACTCCTAGACAAAAGCCATCCTCCCAACCTTGGCCTCCCAAAGTGCTGGCATTGCAGGTATGAGCCACTGCACCCAGCCAGTCCAAAATGTTTCCGATGAAGGGAATGGATCAGCATTTTAACTAAAGATTTAAAATGGAACCTCCTAAACTTCTCTTTCTGTAGCACATAGTCTCTCTTCCAGGGGAATTGGGGTGCTCATTAACATTTGTTAAATAAAAATTATATGGAGGCTACTGTTTTGGACTAAGCTCCTGCGCTAGGCCCCAACAGACCAGATTAAAAATCAAAATAAAGTTACTCATGCCAGAAGTTCCATGTAACCAAACCAAGTTATTTGACCTGAGAAATCTGGAAAGAGAGAGAACTGCCTAACGTATCCTAACCAACACAGCACCGCCCTTCTCCCCGCTGTGCAGTTGAAAATCTGTGTATAACTTTTGACTCCCCCTAAACTTAACTACTAATAGCCTGCTGTTGACCAGAAGCCTTGCAGATAACAGTTAACGTATATTTTGCATGTTATATGTATTATACACTGTATTCTTATAACAAAGTAAGCTAGAGAAAAGAAAATGTTATTAACAAAACCATAAAGAAAAAACATTTACTATTCATCTTTTTTAAGAGATTTGAAGGGTGGGTGGGTTGGGGAAGTCTACGTTGCCCAGACTGATCTGGAACTCCTTTCTTCAAGTAATCCTCCTGCTTCAGTCACTGAAATAGCTGGGGTTACAGGCACGAGCCATTGCACCCAGTTTATTTACTATTCTTAACGTGGAATCGGGTCATGATAAAGGTCTTTATCTTTGTTGTCTTCACATTGAGTAGAAGAAAGAGGAGGAGCAGAAAGAGAAGGGGTTGGTCTTGCTGTCCCAGGGGTGGCAGAGGCTGAAGAGATAGAGGAGGTGGAAGGGGAGGCGAGCACACTCAAGGTAACTTATTGAAAAAAAATTCACATATAAGTGGACCTGCGCAGGTCAAACCTTGCATTGTTCAAGGGTCAACTGTATAGTAATCGTAAATATGTAACCTGATGTTAACCAACCAGTTTTTTTTCCTATTATTGTCTCCCTGGCCCCTCCTTACAAGGAAAGTAACTTTTGAAAGGACCTGTCTACTGTTCTTTCTTTGTTTCTGCTTTCTTCAGCCCTTCTCTGTTTATAAAACCAACCTCTTCTGCTCAGTTCATGGAACACTTATTCTATTTGATGGCATCAGGTGTTGCCCAATCCCAGAACTGCAAATAAAGTCACTTAAGATCTTTAAACTAAATTTAGGCCGGGCATGGTGGCTCACACCTGTAATCCTAGCACCCTGGGAGGCTGAGGTGGGATGATCACTCAAGGTCAGGAGTTCGAAACCAGCCGAGCAAGAACGAGACCCCCATCTCTACTAAAAATAGAAAGAAACTAATTGGCCAACTAAAAACATATAGAAAAAATTAGCTGGGCATGGTGGCGCATGCCTGTAGTCCCAGCTACTCAGGAGGCTGAGGCAGAAGGATTGCTTGAGCCCAGGAGTTTGAGGTTGCTGAGAGCTAGGCTGACGCCATGGCACTCTAGCCCAGGCAATAGAGCGAGACTGTCTCAAAAAATAATAATAAAATAATAAAAAGATCTTTAAATTTATTGTAATTTTATCCTTTGACAGGCTGCAAGTGCAACTGCCATTGAATCAACCAAACAAAAAAATCTCATGTGTGTGTTTGGTCCCTACTCCTCAAATGAAGGTCAAGATTTAAGAAGAACCAATCTCTACCATGAAAAAGATCCAAACCCAAAAGAGGGTGATTTTTCTTGAAAGTTGTTCACTGCAATGAAAGTTTCTACGTTTGAGATACGAGGTTCAAGGAGAATAAAACCATCAGCTGATGCAGGCTTTCTTTTTTTCTTTAAGTTTCCAGAGAAAGGAAAGCGAGTTTCCACCGCACTTCCATTTTCCACCGGCTTCCTCAGGGTGTCAGACGAGCCTCGGGGACAGCCGTCCGGCTCAGGGAAGAAAGTGACTCACACGTCACTCTCGGGCGTCAGTGTGTGCGGGAGAGGGGCTGGGGGGGCGAGACTGCCCCGGCCGCAGGGCAACTCTGCTCCTAGGAAGGAGGCGCAGCGGGCACTCGGCGCCCGGGCTCCCGGCCCCGAGAACGCCCGCGCGAGCTAGTCCCAAAGCCGAGGCCCGCCCCTGGCGCACGCAGGGAGCCCCCGTCCCGCCGCCGCACGCCCGCAAGAGCGTCCCGCCCACCCGGGGCGACTTTCCCCCGGACACCCACCCGGCAGCGGCGCGGCCCGAGGCGCCGGAGCGGAAGGAGGGGGAGGGGCGGCCCGGGGGAGGGGCTTCTCCAGGCCCCGCCCCCGGCCCCGCCCCGCGCGCCCCGATTATAGCCGATGACTCAGGGCGGAGCTCCGCATCCAACCCGCGGCCGCCGCCAACTTCTCTGGTTGGGACCAGAAGTTTCTAGCCGGCCAGTTGCTGCCTCCCTTTATCTCCTCCTTCCCCTTTGGCAGCGCGGAGGCTATTTCCAGACACTTCCAGCCCTCTCCGGCCACGTCACCCCTCCTTTAATTCATAAAGGTGCCCTGCGCCGGCTTCCCGGACACGTCGGCGGCGCGCAGGGCTCCGCTCCCGCGGCGAGGAGGTGCCCGCGGCGGCCCGGCTAGCGACTCGGCGCCCGCGGCCCGCGCCCCACAGCCCGCGCCCGCAGCCCGGGCCGACCCCGGCCCAGCATGAGCGCCGCCACGCACTCGCCCGTGATGCAGATGGCGTCGGGCAGCGCCGCCGGCGACCGCGACCCCCTGCCCCCCGGCTGGGAGATCAAGATCGACCCGCAGACCGGCTGGCCCTTCTTCGTGGACCACAACAGCCGCACCACGACGTGGAACGACCCGCGCGTGGCCCCGGAGGGCCCCAAGGTGAGCCGGGCCCTCGACGGCCGGCGGGGAGCGGGCCCGGGCCGCGGCCGGCCGGGCCGGGCAGGGCCGGGCTGGGGTCACGCGAGGCCTCGGTTCCCGGCGGTCGGCGAAGGCCACCTCCCGGGCGACCCTGGCGCCACGCCGCACACACTGGGGGTGGGCCGGCCGCTCCCGGGCGCGTCCTGCCGCGCCCGACGAGTCTCCCCCACCCGCCCTTGACAGGCGTTGAGGCGGGAGGGGGCGCCAGGCGGGGGTGGCCGGGACGTGCGACCCGCGTGGTGGCACCGGCTCGGTGCGGGGGCCGGGGGACGGGAGCTGGCCCGGTGCTCCCGGGCGCGGAGCGGGACGGCCGGCCTGGTCAGCACCGGGCCCGCCGCGGCCTCTGCCGCCCGCTCGGCCGGAGCCCCTTGACCCGCCCTGCTGGGCGGACGCGAGGGCGCCGCTCGCGCGCTTGGCCGGTGGGCTCTGGGGAATATTTACCAGCTCCTCAAGCTCCACGACTTGGTTGAGGGGACTTCGCTCGCCTGGCCTCGAGTGACTCAGGAGGCTGGTGTAAAAACATTTTTTCCTGTCTCTATTTGAAATTAAAATTGTGCTATTGTGTGAAACTGCTTTCAATAAGAAAGTTTTCTAGTATGACTTGTGAAGTAAAAAACAGGGTGTTTTTCTCGTAGTTTCTAAACTAGAGATGAGACTGCCTCTCAATAGTTGGCCGTTGCTTTACACTGCAGAGAAGAATGAGATATATACACATACACATATGTATGTATATATTTATAATGGCATAAGTTTCATTCCTTGTTATGGTATTAAAATACTTAGGATTTATTTCCAGTTTACAGATAACTGGGTAGTGATACTCTTGAATACAGAAGTATGCCTCACTTACAAATACTCAAGAGTGTATACTTCTTAACACTCAGGAGCATGAAAATTTGAAAATATAAATTTGGAATGAGTCTGTTAATTTAAAAAATTATGATTAGCAGTACTACTCTTGCAATTTTCTATAAATTTGGGCTCTTTCAAATTAAGAGTTTGGAAAAAAAACATACTTAAAGTAACTGTTACTGCTGTGTGCGCAAAATAATAAATGCAGTAAGGAACTGGTAAATTATTTGGAAGATTTAAAAACTCACCAAATTAAAAGTGCTTTATAAACCATTATTTTAGAATAAAGACCCTGTATTGTCCCCTTTCATTTTTATGCACTTTTTTCTTAAAAATATTTCTAAAACTGGTGCCCAACAGTGAGATATTGTACATTCAAACAGTTTATATTTACAAGAAATTAATTGTATATTTATTCCTGAGCTAGTACAAGAGTCTGTGTAATTAGCTGGGATGGGCACAATTTAAATATATACATTTTTGTGTTCTGTTCAGTCCTTTATTGGGTGAAACCTAAGCTCATTTCAAACCATCCTTACTGCAGTCTGCATGGATTGTAGATAATCATTAGTGTGGGACAACTATTATAAAATAATACAACTATTATTTTAAGGCTGCCTTCCTGTAGACACAGAGATAGTCAGAAGCTGCTGTCACCCTTTGTTGTGAGTGAAAATCAAGTTTGAACATAAACATTACTAGCACTTTGTTGTCAACATGAAACTTACCCAACAAGTTGGGATCTTCCTGTACCCACCTGGTAGATGGGTTAGGCTGTGGTTTCATAAACCTTATTAAAGGGAAAAAAACAGGTTGAATTACTAATGTTGTTCTCAACAAACAGAAATTAAGAAATACTAAATTAGAAGTCTGATGCTGGAAAAGTTAATTTGAAAATATAACATTCAACATTTTAAAGTTGAAAAGTCCTTAATGATCTTTTAGTTCAGCATTTTTTTTTTAGAGACAGGAAAGTCCCTGCTGCCCCTTCTCTCCCCACCCCCGCGTTTTTTTTTTTTTTTTTTCTTTGCTCCAACACCCAGGCTGGAGTGCAGTGGCTCAGTCATAGTTCACTGCAGGCTCCAACTCCTGGGCTCAAGTGCTCCTCCTGCCTCAGCTTCCTGAGTTTCTGGGACTACAGGTGCATGCCACCATGCCTGGCTACTTTTTTAATTTTTTGTAGCAGTGAGGAGGTCTTGCTATGTTGCCCAGGCTGGTCTTGAACTCCTGGGCTCAAGAGATCCTCTTGCCTTGGCCTTCCAAAGTGCTGGGATTATAGCCAGGAGCCATCACACCAGGCCAGCTTCTTTATTTTCTGATAAAGAAACCCAGAGAGTTCAAGTGTGTTTCTGAAGGGCACCCAGCTAGTACCAATGGTAAGGAGAGAACTAATATAAGGAAAATCCTAGCAAGAGGCTGAGTACCTGTCCAGAAGTTGAAAGTGGTTTGAATGTCTTATGAAACTGTGAAGCTTTTAGCCTGGAATACTTGATTATCTTTGTGTCATCTTGGTCACCAAGTTACTGGGTCACTGAGTTCTGCTGTGGTTGCTTGGATTTTGATGATTCAATGTGATCAAATCAAGAAAAGAGTTCTCTTTACCATATTAATTACTTGAGATTTGTCAGCTTGGCACAAAAACGTAAGGACAAAATTAACATTCAGTCCATGAGCTGTTTGGACTTCATTGCCTTCAACCTGTGCTTTGATCCACACAGAATATCTGGATGACTAATTCCCTTTCACGTATATGAATCACATCTGACTCCAAACTATAGTGGAAAATCCTGCAATATTATTTTACATTAGAAAGTGGTTTCTTGAGGCATGATGAGGAAAGGGCCCTATCGTAAAACAAAGGGCGATTTTGGAGGAGCTGAGCTAAGGCCCTTGTCTTCAAGAGGAAATGCTGTCAGTCAATAAAGGCTGTTCATTGAGCATGAAAACAGCCGTCTCTCCCTTTGGGGAGGACTCAGCTCAGGATGTTTACTATCTAACCACTTTAGTAAATAAATGACTTTTGTGGAAAGAAGAAAAAGACTAGAGCTATGTGTTTTATTTAGTCTTGTACTCTTTCGTCTCACAGTTGATGCTCTGCTTTCCCCTGAAGTGGTGAGAGCAATTCTTTTATCCCCGTTTTTACAGAGGGGGCAAGTGGAAGCAAATGCCTTACAGTCTTTGCAGAGGCAGGACAGCTACAGGCAAAAATGTTGGGTGTCATCCAGCACCATTGTAAGCAGCTGGACGTCCCCACCTGCAGTCTCTTGGATTTTGATTTTCTGCACTCTTGCACTCCGCACTAATCTGGCAAGTTCATGCTAGTCCAGGCCCCTTCCTGGCAGAGGCTGGCATTCCCTTTGGCGTCAGGAGATGCACAGTTCCGGTGCAGCTCCTCCTCCCTGAGTAAACAGAGGCAGATACTCTGGAGTACTGTTCTCTGACAAACCTCCCTGAGATGGAGGAGACCCTCCTCCCTCACAGAGCAGGGTTGTTCTAGCTCTGTGCATATGGAAGGTCACCAGCCTGGCAGTCTCCAGGGGAGCCTCTTAAGAACACAGACTGCAGCTGTGTTGCACACCCCCTCTCCCGCCCATTCTCATATTAAATCTGAATTGCTCAGGGTAGGGTCCAGAAATCCACAAATCTAAAAAGCTTTTCTGGTGGTTCTGAATCTGCCAGACTGGCATTAGGAGCCACAGATGGCCTGTGGCCCCACCTTGGGGAGGGGGAACTGCAGCGTAGCCTACGTGTAGGCCCTGGAATCCCTATCCCTGGAGAGGTGCCTGCTTAACATCTAACCTGCAGAGCCTTTACCCCAGCCTCTGTTTTTTGTTTTTTTGTTTTTTTCCTTGGGGAGACTCTCTCAATGCCTGGGCTTCTGGCGGTGTGAATGTGGGGTGACATGGGAAGGGAGTGGACACAGCACCATGTGAGTCTGGCAGAGTGGCAGTATGAGAGTGGGGGAGGAGGTCAGACTCAGGGCAGTCCCAAGACCCTCCTATACCTCAGGAAGAAGCAAGCCAGAGCCTTTTGTCTTGCTCTCCCTGCAGAATCTCACCATAATAATTTGACAGATTATACTTAGGCACTGTGAGAGGGAGGTAGAAACATCCTTTCAGAGAAAATTGAATATGTTTTGACTTATGATTGAAGAAGAGAGAGCCAGTTATTCTGCTTCAGGTTCAGCAGAGCCTCCTGAATTTTCTTGAAGATGAGATCATTTTGCTCTTTCCAGATCGATTGTAAGCTATTATGCCTCTTAACAGAGTCAGAGCACAATCAGGAAATGAGTGGCCATTCTCTCCTTCATGTTTCCAGCAAGTCGCAGTAATGGCCGAGCAAATTCCTTCGCAACTAACTGGATGAACA